CAATCAGAGGAGGTACCTAGCTCTGCCTGGTTGACAATGAGAAGGGCCTGCTGATTCTAAGCATGGTACCCAGGCTGGGTGGGGAGGGCATCAGAGGTGAGGGAGGGGATGCAGAAGGTGGGCAGCTCTCATCCAGCTCCTCCTGCCCCTCCCCACTTGGGCTATGCCCTGCTGCATGCCAGGTGGGGGACAGAGCCGGGCTGAGACTTGGTCCCTGCTCAGTGACAGCACCATGGACACAAGATACTCTGGGAAGAAGTGGCCAGCTCCCACCGGTGAGATGCGGCCAGACCCTACCACTTGAAACTGTCTCATCTGGCGAGGCCAGAAGGGCCTATCCTCAGGGCTGGGGTGGGTGGGTCAGGGCCATCCTGTCTTCTTCTTGCTGACTGACTATTGACTGTTTTCAAGGGCCAGCGTGGCAGCTGTTCCTCTTTGACCTCATCCATCCTGGGTACGGGTGGGTAGGCTTAGGGAGTAGTATCTCAGCAGGCATGCTCTTTGGTCGTCCTGCTGTGGGACTGAGACCTCAGGGCAGGACCAAAGGGACACTGTGCTCATGAGGGATTTGTCCCTACAGACACAGGAGGGGAGGAAGACACTGAGGACCAGGGGCTGACTGGAGATGAAGCTGAGCCGTTCCTGGATCAGAGTGGTGCTGTGGGCCCAGGGGGACCAACCACACCCAAGAAGCTACCTTCCCACCCTCCTCCCCACCACCCAGGGGCTAAAAGAAAAAGAAGCTCAGCCCCACCTAGAAAGCTGCTGTCGGACAAGCCACAGGACTTCCAGGTGATAGAGTGGGGCCTCTGTGGTCCTGTCTCCTCCTTTAGTTCATCAGCAGTGACTAGGGCCCTGCGCCTGGCTGGGTCGTCTAGCCTCAGGACAATGTGCTGGAGCTCCAGAGGCCTCCCAAGAAGAAGCTAGGCTGCCCTGGATGCTGGCAACCGAATTGGGAGTTTGTGTTTTGGGGTCTCAGAGCATGTCTTGCCCAGTCCTAAGGAGTCTGATGAACAAACAAGCAAGCAAACAATGAGTGAATGAGATTAGCCTAGCTCTGCATCTCCTTTGTTTTGGTAACTGGCCTTTGTCCTAGGGCCTAGCTCCCTGCTCTCCAGCAAGTGTGTGCACCAGTAGCTCCAGCAGCAGCAGCAGGAGGAAGAAGAGGAGGGTCCCCTGAGCTTTTTCCAAAATTAGTGACATTTATTTATTTATTTATTTAGTGTGTTGGGTAGAGCATACAAATGTCACTGTGAGGATGGAGAGGTCAGAGGAACACTTCTTCCACCATATGAACCTGGGGTATAAACTCATACTATCAGACTTGGCAGCAGGTGCCTTTACCCACAGAGTCATCTCTCTGCCTATTGTTTAAAATTTTGAAAATGATATTTATATTCATATGTGACGTGTCTCTGTGTGTATGCACATGCGTGTGCCACAGCATTGTGTAGAGGACAGCTTTCTGCTCATTCTCCTCTACCATCTCCCTGGCTCTGTTTTGGTGTTTTGGAGACAGGGTCCCGTGTTACTCAGGCTGCCTCTAGCTCGCTGTATAGATGAGGGTGACACTGACCTCTTGATTTTCCAGCTCTGCTTTCAAAGTGCTGGAATGAGGCCTGTATGGCCATCATGCCCAGCCAAGGTTCTTAGAAAAGTAGCCCTCTGTCCCCATTCAGAGCTGCTGAACCAGCTGCCCGAGTCTGAGGAATTGTGTCCCACTGTGGAGGAAGGAAAATCACCCCAAGTTTGAGGCCAGCCTGTGCTATACACTGAATACCAAGCCAGTCTAGGTACAGAGTCACCTATTTGGAAAGACAATGATGGCTGGAGAGATGGCTCAGAGGTTAAGAGCACTGGCTGCTCTTCCAGAGGTCCCGAGTTCAATTCTCAGCAATCATGTGGTGGCTCACAACCATCTGTAACGAGATCTGGTGCCCTCTTCTGGCCTGCAGGCATACATGAAGACAGAACACTGTATACATAATAAATAAATAGATCTTAAAAAAAAAGAAAGACAATGAAAATAACAGAGTGAGTGGGTATTAGCGGGGTCTCAGATAGGGTCTGGTCTAAGGGAAAGCAGGGCTAGATTTGTCCTTGACCCAGGAGATTTTATGCAGATGGCATATTTGGAGCTGCCCCACAGTTCTATTGGGAGCTCTGGGATTTTTTAGATGCAAGCGGTAGCTTGGTGCAAAATGTGATCGTTTTTGTAGCACTCTTTCTAGCAGCTTTTGGTAGTTCTCCTGGAAGTCATCAGTGAGCTGGCCTTGAGGCTTCTGACTCTTGGGGTCAGGAGGTGACCTCCCTTCTTCTTTTCTCTTACTTACCCCTTCTCCTGACTTTCAGATCAGAGTTCAAGTGATAGAAGGGCGTCAGCTGCCAGGGGTGAACATCAAGCCTGTGGTCAAGGTCACAGCTGCTGGGCAGACCAAGCGGACTCGAATCCAGAAGGGAAACAGCCCAGTCTTCAATGAGGTGAGTGACCCCAGCTATCAGACAGGACATTGATAGTGCTTGAGAATGGAGAGGCCATTCTCAATAGAGCAGATATCAGGGCATGTATCCAAGAGTGTTCTCTCGTGGTGCCAACTTTGAGTGTGTGAGCCAAGACCAGTGTAGATTATCAGAGGACTTGTAGAGCCCTTCTCCCCACAATCCAAGCATCCTTGTCCTTGAAATGCTACCCCCTGTGAGGTAGAGATGGAACAGCCAGGCTTATTAGATACCCAGACCTTGACACTCCTCAACTCAGGTTTGAATATTGGTGGGTAGTCATGGCCCCTCTGCCTAGCCTGAGGTTCAGAGACACTGATTTTCCTTCTTTCCATTCTGGACCAACAGACTCTTTTTTTCAACGTATTTGACTCTCCCTCGGAGCTGTTTGATGAGCCTATCTTCATCACGGTAGGTCTCAGCTATCAAAGTGTTCTTCATGGGCTGTGGGTACACGTGACAGCCTGCAATGGTGTGATGTGATATCCACAGACATGTCTGCCATTGTGCCTGTGTATGTGTGTGTGTGAGAGAGAGGTGGGGTGAAACTTCACTCCTAGGTGATTGAAGGACTCCCAGAAGCTCTGTCAGTGGCAGAAAACTGCCCAGGTGCCTCCGGTCAGAGGCCGGGAATGCCTGGCTTTTGGCTTGCTTCCTCTGTCTGTTCTCTGGACTCTGATTTCCCCATGCTGCTGGGAAGGGTTGTGCACTGGATGTGTGGGGCTACCTCTGCTGTGTGCCCATCTGATTCCGCACATGCTCTGTGATGACCCTTTGCTTTTGATCTTTGATTTGTGAGCTGGGGATCATGTTAGTATCTTCTCACAGGATTCTGTGAGGTAAGACTTTGCTTAGCTCTATCTCTGGAATGGAGAAGGTGCCAGTTGCTGTTGTCTGGGAGGGATCTGGCCAGAGCCATATTCTCAAAGGAAGATGCTCTTTTTTATTTTTTGCAGGTGGTGGACTCACGCTCCCTTAGGACAGATGCCCTCCTTGGCGAGTTCCGGGTAATTGTTCCTTTTCTTGGAAGCAGTCAGCTCTTATTTCCCCTTCAGGGGCAGGCTATACTGGGAGAATCTAGTTTCACCACATCTCCTTAAAAACTCCATGAAATCTCCCATGAAGTCTCTGGAACTGGGGAGACAGAGGGAGGTCAAGTGGGTGGAGAGTGACCCTTCCATCACGTTCCTGCAGTTAGGAAGAAGGCTGGAGAGCGCACCAGCCAGCACAGCATCCCTCCCCATGACAGCACCCCTCCCCATGACAGCACCCCTCCCCATGACAGCATCCCTCCCCATGACAGCATCCCTCCCCATGACAGCATCCCTCCCCATGACAGCATCCCTCCCCATGACAGCATCCCTCCCCATGACAGCATCCCTCCCCATGACAGCATCCCTCCCCATGACAGCATCCCTCCCCATGACAGCATCCCTCCCCATGACAGCATCCCTCCCCATGACAGCATCCCTCCCCATGACAGCATCCCTCCCCATGACAGCATCCCTCCCCATGACAGCATCCCTCCCCATGACAGCATCCCTCCCCATGACAGCATCCCTCCCCATGACAGCATCCCTCCCCATGACAGCATCCCTCCCCATGACAGCATCCCTCCCCATGACAGCATCCCTCCCCCTCACCACACCCCAC